GGGGGGACGCTGCCTGTGGGGTGTCGGTGGGGCCCAGGGGGGCAGAAGGGCCCTGTCTGCCCGCGGAGGTGGGTCGCTGCCATCCTCTTTGTTTGCTGCGGATCACTTGGGCCGTGCCCGCCCCACCAACGCCTCCGTGCTGGCCCCGGCCCTGGCCCTGGCTCCGGGAGGGTAAAAGGGCGCACTCTCTGCGTGACGGAGCGTTACCTACACGCCGTGCAACATTCCGGTAGTTTTTGTCACCCGGGTAGGATGTGCAGCCTGGCACACATGGGTACGTACAAACGTACTCAGGATCCAGATGCTTTCCTTCGGTGAAAATTATTACCGCCTTATTTATTTTTAGATACTGGTTTTGCTAGTCTTTAGGGAGAAAGTCATTGAAAAAAGGGATGGACTTTTGCCCTTCGACAGGATCTGAAATCCCTGTAGTGTCACCAAAGAAACCGAGGGCCAGCACTGGCATCCAGGAGGGCGGCTGAGCTGCTCCAGAGGCAGGCAACATAAAGAGAAGAAACTTGGTTGTCTGGATCCAGTTGAGTAAGGAGATAAAATATGGGCAACCAGTCCTTGATCTGGACCTGGTATTTCTGACTGGAGAGCAATGAACAGGTAATTATAGATTTCTACAGGTAATGGCTCAGGAGGCAGATGCTATATTTGGAGCCGATGAAATAGCTCCAGTATCTGCGCTTCCAGAGTAGTTTCCAGATAGGAGATACGGTACTAATGAAGTCTAAGGGTCATGAGAGCATCCACAGTAATGGAAGACTTTTTGATTCCTGATGCCACTTATCGACTAGTCAAAGTAGAAGTACAGTAAAATCTCCATGTTTATTATCATCTTGACAATTCCCATGCAGAATCGTTTGATACAAAACTGTTATGTGGAGCCAATTACAGGTAATGTCTTCCTTTGCAATTCAACCTGTCCCAGGCTCACAGCAGCTGCAGTACTTCTATTGCATTGTTTCTGTAAAGGACTGTGTAAGAATCACCTACTCCTTTCCTCCCACCCTCC